TGAGTGCGGTCGCAACCTACATCTAATAAATGTATTACCATGTTATTATATTTACCAAGATCGATTTGTTATTTAATTTAAGTATAATACAAAATAATATTCTATGAAAACGTCAATTTGCTGCTCAGTCCATAAACATTGTTCTGTGAATTAATTTACAAAATGTAATTATTACTTCATCACTTCAAATTAATTCATCAGATGTATTACAATTTTTCATTAATGACATATGAGTAAGTTACCGTCAGATACTGTGACTTTTCTGGACTTTTCTAGACAATGTGGCAAAGATCATCAACGAGCAATAAGATAATGATCACTTTATAGTCTAGTCATAATTACAAGGAATTTTACATTGCTTTTAGCTTTGTGTTTAACAAAACAAATATACCTTAGGGAATCGTACCAATTCTTTATAAACTATTTTATTCCCCGTGACAATAGTATAAGTACAAGAAAATGCTTTCTAAATCATAATGTAGCAAGTAATTTGTGAAATATAGGTAATAATTACTATAGAATATACTTGGACATTTTCGCGGGGAAAATCGTTACTTATCATCGCAAGACCATGATATATTCATGGAAGTCAACGAAAAGCAGAATTTCAAGAAGAATAATAAATTGCTCAAATTTTGTGAAAGCAGCTTTTAATACTGGTAGAAATGTCATACGTTGTCTTGTAGACGCAGAAAAGAACACGAGCAAATAAAGATAAATACAAATGTGAAGGCATATTTTAGTCTTACCCTTTATACTATTAATTACCTTTACGCTATTGATTTCATAAAGTGTGTATATATGCTTTTTCAATAATACTTACTATAATAGGTGATAAGTGTAGAGAAATATCACGCAAAACATTATAAAGTTAAGTACATCAAGATTTTGTCACGATAGATATAGAGGAAGGTCATTGATAGACATCGACATAACACTTTGTGCTTTTAGACAGTATTTCTTAAACAAATGCTAAATGTAAAACTTTAGAAACACAAATGCAAACTATCAAATTATGTAATAGTTTTTTAATACTGTTTACAATTCTGCAATAGTTGACTTATTCGTAGAATAAGCAAAAATGTTCTTATGACAAAATGGGCCTCAAAACTGATACAGAAATGCCACATATATTCCTATGGACATACACTACCACTCATTAATTTCAATACACCTCTAGATTCGTCGATTTCTTTGAAAAGGATGAACGTGATACGTGTGTTTTGCACATTTGTAAACAATGTGTATGAGTACAAAACATGTTTATTTGCCTATATAAATCTATATTCATCACAAGCGAGCTTCTTTTGTTACTTTAAAAAAAACCGCCGATTTGAATAGTGTATTAAAATTAATGAGCGATATATTGTATGTGTTGACTAATCAGTTTCAAAACAGTATTAGGCACGTATCTGATATCATGATATCGTGACCTTGTGTGCGTATTTTGTTTATTTCCTAAATCAGATGTTATCCGGCTGAGTAGTAAGTGGGAAGGTACAAAAGGCGCGTCAAAACAAACCCCTCCACTCCACCCAGGCGTCAAAACAAACCCCCTTCCCCCCCCCCGAGCTGTCAAAACGAACCCCCTCCACGCCTCCCAGACGTCATGGGCGTGGCCTAGACGGGTCCGTCTGGAACAATGAGGGGATCTGATTGGTCGGTGGATGAAGGAAGGATGTATAGGGTAATTAAATGGAGCGTTCTGATTGGTTCGCTCTATAGTTGCCAAAGATCTGATTGGCTCGTTCCATACCTTCCCACGCTACGAATGATGAGGGAGAGGTCGCGTTGAGAGAGAGAGAGAGAGAGAGAGAGAGAGAGAGAGAGAGAGAGAGAGAGAGAGAGAAGGATGGGAAAGCCTAGGAAAATATGTCACGAGACATTTTTTTTTACCAGGAGGGAGAGAGAGAAAGGTACGGACGTGAATCATGCAGTTCTTTATTTTGTAGGTCCTTTTTTTTGCTGATATGGTTCTTTGTCTGCGTCGTACCAACGATTATTATTTATGGGATTTTTTACGAAAATTTTCGTGTCTAGGAGTCTCTTTTGCTTGGAGGAAAGAGGAGGTAAAACAGGAACGAACATGTTCATCTGACACGACGTGATCACTTATGATGATTCAGGCATTACTCTAAAGAAAAAATTCTTTTATATTTTTTTCCTTTATTTAATCTACATTATCTAAACCGTAAATGGGGACGGGGTTAAGAGTAAGGAACAGATGAAATTTACAAGACAAAAACGTTTATTTTTTTTTTAAAGAAAAGATATTACATGATATAGCTATTTTACTTTTTTTTGAAAGAGTACACGATTGAACATGATGGCATACAGTATGAGAATTTATGAATTTATGTTTACAATAAAGAAAAAATTTATGAAATAACTACGATCAATCGGTCGTTGTATTTACAATCAGTGGTAAACAGACTAAGAAACTGGCTAAGTCGATAATGACTTGACGCGAGGAGTCGATTTCTAAAACGTTATCAAACTCAGCATAGACGATACAATTAATTGTCACGGAAAGAGCTTTTTCGAATCTCACTTCTAATCGTAAGCTCCCGTGTTTCACGAGATTCCAATGTCCTGCGCAATTAGCGGATAGGTCTGGAGTAAGATCGAAAGCAAAAAGAGTGTAACCATTGCCGTAATCGTCTCTAGTTATAGAATTACCTTCGTTCAGAAAGTGAATGCCGGTTCCCGAGAATAATGTGTGATAAGCTTCAACGTAGAGCGGCTCGTCTTTCGAAAAATCTGGCTTTAACGGTCTACTAGGAATTTGCATGCCACCGACGTACAGCGAAAAGAAATTTATTCCGTAATTTTTTAAATTAAAAGAAAATTCAATTTTTTATTACCGTTAAACGCTTTGTTATCGACAAAACCGACTATTATTCGTTTTGGTAGCTGTCCGAGTATTGCATTGTCTATCGATTCCCCCACGACGCCGGCGTGTATCGTGAATGTTTTAACTTCGACTCTCGTAAGGGGATACTTGGCGGTAGTTTTATTCAACATTCTAGCATGTGTGAGTAGCACACTAGGACTTATTTTTGTTCTTCTTACGAGTAGACTAGCGTCAAGAATGCGTATTTTTGATAACGTTTTACTCTCCATAAGGCAAAACGAATCTTTCGAGCGTACGAGTCTCATTCTAACTTCCACACCGTTAATTAAAAATTTATCTTGGTTGAAAACGTCGCAGTGAAGGTGACCTATGAGATCTAGCGCGCGATTTCCCTGAATGTATTTCGCACGTCTCTCGAGTGCCGTATTTGGATTTGACGAGTCTAACGTGTCGTCCATGTAGCTGGGAATATCCGCGTCCCATAAGCAAGAGGTTAGATGGGAAGTTTTTGCGGGTGAAGCATAATTTAATAACGCCTCGATGTATGCGCGGTACGCGTAAGCGTTGTTTGGCGGCGACACGAGCTTTTGATTGAAATATACGTCGATTTGGTTGAACCATGGAATGTAGTAAATGATTTACGGGTCCTACTTTTGCCACGTCGTCGGGTGCGAGCGATGTGCTCTCCCCGCGATCGCTTTCTACGCGTATGTGAAGGCTCAACATGATGTGAGTGAGATCCAGATAGTCTTCTCCATGTCCGGGAATGACGAATTCTATGGGTGAATCGTCCGTGAGCGAAGTTACGGGTTCGTAATAAATCCATTGCGAGCTCTCAATGCTGGTTTGCGTAGGAGACAGAGAGAAGAGATCGAGTTCCCTCTTTATACACTCGCTTGAGTGAGTGTGAAGAAAGGACATGCTTTTCCTCCCCCTTCCGTGAATTCCTGTCGTAATTAAGAGAATATATCTGATACGTCGCGTTTCTTGACTCGATGTTTCCTAGTGAATGGTTTTTTGGTTTTTCTTCCTGCAGCACGAATTTTCTTTTTTTTCATCACTTTTTTGTTCTTCTTTCCCGCGATACTTCTCGATGAATTTTTTTTCTTGATCACTCGACGTCGTTTGCGATGCGCGATACGACTATCTCGACCGCCGAATGGAAACTGTAGTGCTGTGGATTTCGCGGATATTTTATATCCCGATCCCCTCATCAGGGTACTTATTTTTTCTTTGGCTTTTCTCTTAAAATTACTCCGCGATTCTGCTAGTCGACTTTTGACCGCTTTCTTCAACGTTTTATTATTTTCGACGTCTTCTATTACGTTAATTCCCGCACGCAAAGCTTCTTTCCCGACAGCACGTGCATCTTTATTTAGATAGGGTAATATTTTTCTGAATAGTCCTCCGAGAAACCTATCGATCCATGACAGTGTTGATAGGGCGAACCGACGAAAACACGTGGAATTCCACCTCGGTTACTGGTGTCGCGTGCATCAAAATACTCCTCATATTCCATCTTGAGTTTCTAACTAAGACTACTCTATCAACTAAAACCAATATCGACACGATCGTGTACACGAAAGAAAGTTATTGCTTACGTTTAAAGTGTAGTGTCACTGTCAGCGTTCCGAATTCGAATGGAATTTTTTTCCGAGATCTCTTATATCAATTTCAATCGTTCTGAAATTCGTTCTTCGCAATGGGATATAATTCGGAAATAAGAAATGCTTCACTAAATTTGCACCAAATGCATAATTATGACTGCGTATTTCATTTGGAACTACTCTGAGAAGAGGAGTACGTACATCACCTGTTATGTAAGACTCACAAATATCGCAATAAATGAACATTTTATCAGGGATAGAGCGCCACAAACTACAGTGTTCGATACTCCAATAACCATCTATTTATCGTCGTCCCGTCTCCTTATTAAATTCATGTGTAAGAAAAGTTTTCTCTTGTGTTTCATCGGAATTAGGTTTACGTATCGCGAGCTTGGAATAAAATGCATGTTTACTCGAAATGGCTGATGAGAAACCTAAGATTCGTAGAAGATTATCGGAAAAGTTTATATGATGTATTATAGCATTTTACACTTCTCATCGCAGTTAACACTTATACAGATTTTGCCGCCAGTCGCTTTTTGCTGTTCAAAATAAAAATGCGATTTGGCATTTGTACACGCGGTATTAATCGCCTCAATAAGTTCGTGGATATCGCTGTAAATTACATTTGGAAATACAACTTCTTTTACCGTAAACGGACCACTCATCCCCTCATCGGGTTTAAGATCGACGAATCCGATCATATTCTCGTTATGACATACGTGTAAAAAGGTACAGAGAAATTGAATCTCACTTAACGCAACTTCCCATTGTCCGTGCAACGCTATCGAGTGAGGTAATTCCGTGATGAAGGACGACGTTGTATTATTCGGAAAATGACGCATACTACTGTTACTCGGAAGAACCAGAAGAAACTGTTCCTCCTCCATCGCGAAGAGAAATTAAACTCAAAGCCGGAATCCAAGTATCAAACTTGCTGGGATAACCGCGCCAACTAATTAGTAGTTGCTTATTACCTCCTCGCCCCCTACTCTTTATCACACGATCAACGATAAACTGTTCTTCTTGTAAGTTTTTCTCAACTCGAGCTAATTCTTGCTCAAAAAAATACCGTCTATGACTTCGTCTGCCAATTCGCTCAATTCGTACACGTGCGGTTTTCGCCAATCGAGAATACGGTAAATTCGAAATATCTCCTCGCTCCAGTTAGCCTCATATCCTTTTTCGAAGGCACCTTTCGCTCTACTGATGCGAACGAAATCCCCGACACGATATTTAATCTTTCGCACCCGTTTCTTTAACGTTTCGTCTTTTTCCAACGACGAGCTGTATTTTCACGAGCGATGCGTGCGTTTTCTCACGTTACTACCGCTGGTTGCATTCTCGTGGATGAGTAACGCGTGTGACTGTAAGCGTACAGAATGTCATGTAGAACATCGATGTATCGTCGCGTATTTTTATGCGTGAAATAACGCCACATTCGCTCCTTCAGTGTTCTGTTAAAGCGTTTGACTATGGCGGCTTTGATGTCCGGGTTGCGCGTTACTCGAAAACGTATGTCGTTTTCTTTAAGAAATTTCTGCATTGATTGCGCGACAAATTCTTTACCCTTGTCCGTTTGTAATACGGGTGCTCGTCTTTCGCTTTTCGCTAGTACACGTTGAAAAGCTTTTATCACGCAGTTACTCGTTTTGTCGCGTAGCGGTTCTACCCAGACGTATTTACTAAGTAGATCGATAATCACTAACAGATAGGAATAACCGTCGTTGTAACTTTTTAGATTTCGGAGTTCGATCAAATCAGCCTCCCACACATCGTCAATGTTTGTCACGCTGTAATGCAATCGTGGAAATTTTCTGCGCAATGGTCGGTGCAGCGTGTAAGCGTCTTGCGATTCGAGCCAACGTACTTCTCTCTGTGAGAAATTCGGTTTAACAAAACGAGTTAGATTATTCACCGCCGAATAGCCCATGTAATACGACGGATCGTAGTATAATTTTTCAAACGTCATGGTTATTTTAATTTTTTCCACTCGAGCAACCGATTTTTTCTCGCCGATAGAGATACGGGGGTATCAGTTTTTCGTACACGCGGAAGAAACGGCGAACGTTCGTCGTCTGTTTCTTCTTCTTTGCGATTTTTTCGTTTTTCTCTTTCTTCGCGCTCACGATACAATCGGCGTGGAACTCGCTCTTTCGGCATAATCGGCATGGAGCTCGCACGAGGTCGAAGCTTTACGCTATTTGTAGTAACACCCTGCGTGGCCAATAATCTTTTATTTCTCACCAATGCCGAAGGTATGTTTAACGTACGGAGTAACCGCGCAAACTGATTTCTTCCTGCTGTTTTCACAGTTTTTCTCTCGCGCATCGCGTCGTTTATCAAGTCAGCGATATTCGAATCTTTCACGACGTTACCATCTATAGTCACGATTCCATGCGCGTCCCAACTAATTCTATCAGGCACAGCTTTTCGAAACAAATGTTTCATCAGTAAATGTGCACACTTACGCTAAGATTTCGGTAAGCTTTCCACTATTTCTTCAATGCTTTTCATCGTATGATTATGATCGCTCGAAATTTCGAAATTTTTCGTAATAATATCAGCGTTACTGCTGGAATGTGGTGGGGGTACATCGGATCCTTGTGTAGGTTCGTGTAAAACGTCATCGTACTGTAGGGATTTAATATTTTTTGTATTTGTACAACACGCGATCGGATGATAACGCACAGCAGCGGCAGAGCAAACCGATGTTACCGTCTACACTCTTATGGTAAACGCCATGAGCGCCGTGACCGACATAATTTTAGAACTAACATACAACCGGCCCCCCGCTGAGCAGGCTGGCGTTAGCGCGCATTCCTCTGTAAGCATCCGCTTGATTAACATTAAATATTTCTGTTTATTAACTAAGTGCGTGTTGAGTTTTGTGACCCCCGTAATTCCCACAGTACGTTGACTCGTTGCCGTTGGAGGCATCGTCTTGTGTAGCGTTGTCTTCTATATTTCCGTTTTCGTTGCGTGCGTCTTTCTACCTACGCGTTTCTTGGATAAATCGCAAGTATCGTCATAATGCCTCTGAGTATATTTTCCATCTCACACTTTCGTCGCGCGGCCAGTCAGAATTAAGAATACGACTCATCTCCGCATCGAGTCGTGTTAGATGAGTTCCGGGAGTTTGCGTTGTATTATTAGTGTTCACTGCGTTATCCGAATTTTCTGATACTGCGATTTCTTTTGACTCTCCGCCAGCGAACGATGTCGGATTCTCACGTAGCTGATGTTGCATTCTCTCGAGATTTTCCGATGCAATTAAAACCATTTTTTTGGCCTTCTCCATAACATTTTCTCCCTACTATTTCGTTCCTTCGATAATTAGTGATAATAAGGTTGATAATATAGGTCCGATAATATAAGATAAAAACCCGCCTCGCTGAACCAACAACTTTCTTTTATCCTTCCAATTACCACGATTTGCAACGATGCGACACAGAGCCGTTTTGTATTTTGTTAACCGATTTTTTTCGCAACGTTCAAGCGAGACGTTGCCTTTGAGTGTATTAAAAACAAATTCACAGATACAACGAATTAATTTTTCGTCAGCGCTGCGTAAGAAGGCTGTGCGTTAATTTTTGTTCAAATAACAGATCGTCGCGAGGAGACAGGCGTTTCTCTTACCGATCGAATGTGTGACGATTTTCGTCGCACTGTGCGATTCCTTGGCACTCTCTTTCATCGCGAGAAACAGCTATTACTGACACGTACGATTACCCGTACTCACCTTTTATACGAATCCACTGGAAAATGATCTACGTGGCATGTAGACGTAATGAGTCGTATCCTCGGGAAAAGTACACGTTCGAAATCGGTACTCGTCCGGGGTTGATTGTTTCAGATCGAGCAGTAAATAGCCGTGAGACCTCGACGTAGCATCGTAATATGCTTCTTCTAGGAATTTCGGATCGTCGGGATAGACTTGACGCGCCAAATGACGGATTTGAGCGCGATCGCGTGGATTTTTAAAAACGACGATGTAATTCGGATTGAGCGATATATCGCGCTGACCACGTCCCTGATGGAAGAGATTCGAATAGCGAGATAAGAATAACACTGAGATTCTTGTGATGACTGCCTTTGGTGAAAAGATCCACGCGTCGCACGACGACGATTCTCTCATAAGATCGTCGATTATCACTAATTTCGGAGAAAGCGGATCGTTCGAGTAACCTTCCGGACGGCGTAAACCTTCGCGAAATTCAATTTTATTCTTCTTCGCCTCTTTAGTATTGCTGCATTCCCAACTCTGTTCTTCGAACTCTTTTTCACGAGTGTCGTATTGTAATTGACGATAAG